GCTTTTCTCAATGTTTTTATTTACCAAAAACATTGTCCCACACCTATAGTTATAAGGATTATAAAATAAAGAAATATGATGGGCAAGCTGGGAGGAGCCCCCCTTCTATAAAAAAGTAAAAAGTAACCACTTTCCATACTCCTGGAACACACTCACACTAAATGCTGGATCACTTTACACGGCCAAGTACTACAATAGTGATTTATCCGAAAGGATCAATTATTTGGTAAGCTGGTGCAACCTCCTATCTTAAAACGTTAAAAATATTTATTTTTGACACTTCATTCACCATCTTTGAAGGATTCTTTTGCTTCCTTGCACAAAATTACATGCACTTCCTCTCATACCAATAAAATTATTTTGGGCGCTGTCCAAACTTTTAATGCAGGTCTCAATCTTTAGTATAACATATTCAACAAAAATACAAGAGAAATCACAGCTTCATTCATTTCGACCGCTGGTTGAACAACGGACAAATAAATACCAACAAAGACTCATACAAGACAGCACTTTCCTGGACCCCTTGCCATTCATAGGCAAAGGTCCAGAGGCCAGTCGGTCGCTGAACCCCGATGTTGACCGAGGAGTTCCACAGTATCAATGCCTGTCGTAGCATTTTGTACTAGAGATCAACGAAGCAACAGTAGGTGGCAGTTTGTGGGGGTTCTGGTTTGTCGTGTTGGAGGGCTGCTGCTCCTGCTCTGATGCTGTGTTCTCAAGCAATAGAAAATAAATATACAAATTAAAAAATTAACAAAAATAACCGTTGCAGTATCAAGTCCCATGTGCTTCATGGAGACTCTTTAGTTAAGGCGCTGTAGGTAGAGCAAAGTAATAGCTTGGAGGCGCCTTCTTGGTTGATAAAACAATAGCATGGCATGGATGGCTCCTTTGTGGTTGGCAGCGTGTGGTTGGTTCACATCTTACTCGAACATTGGCCTGGCTGGGGGGGGGGGGGGGGGGACAGGAGAAAACGGGTTAGGAATGAACTCAAAACTTTTTTCACTCTAAAGCACAATACAAAAATATAATCAGAAGAGACTTCACACAACAGAACTACAAGTAAACTCACTAGAAGTCCTGAGTTCTGTAGGCATAATGGTTTAATCATCATCTTCATCACCAGACTCATCGGACTCTGCAATTAGAAAACAGTTACTCAGTATCCTAATTTTTATAGATCAATACTTCAACAAGTGTATCCAGCCATTATAAATATCTAATTTCCCTGAAAGCTTACCCTCCTCAGCATTCTGTAACCACTCCACAAACTTCTTGAGCTGGTCAAGGAAGATCGACTTCCCTTTCGTAGCATGACCATCCTTGTACCACTTGAGGACTGCTTCCTCTGACAAAACTTCAGCTGTAAAAGGAGATTACATATGATGAGTTTTTGTCAATATTGATAATGAAAGGTAAAAGGAATAGCTATATTACAGATTTGTTCTAGAATAACTTGCACAACCATAAACAGATAAATATAATAAAGGCAAATTAAGCAAGCCCAACCATACTCACATTTGTAGAAGAGGATGACAATCTTGTGGAAAACTTTCATGAAATTCATGTTGTCGTAACAGTATTCCTGAATACGAACCAGCAGATTCAACTCTGCGCGGTCAGATCTGGTATTGGCAGCAAACAAGGGGGCATAGACACGCAAATGTTTGAGGGCCTGGTCTGCAACCAACTCCTCTTTCTTGTTCCATTCCATGGCTGCCATTACACTACCCCAAATCTGAAAAAGGCAAATTTAATATTAATCACTTATTAATGACATTGTTCATAAAGAAAATTAACATCTGGAATAACACATCACCCTTGCTAGTCAATTTCTAATTCATTCATCTCTATTTACATTGGCTTTAATACACATACACTGGGGAAGTGCACTCAGTTCTATTGTACTTTAAGAAAATTCAGTTTTTTAACACAAATTACAAAGCTTAACATCAGTTATCTGTACTTAAAAGATCCTTCTTCATATAGAAGAGATCCCTATCTTGAGTGTCAACAACAATGTTTGTGCAGTAGCAACACAAAAGCTTCAGTATATTCATATTAACTAGTCAAGTACAGTACTGGGACTGAAAAAAAAAAAAAAAATAGTCAACTTACAGCAGCCACAACCTGAGGTTCTTGAATATTGTTCTTCTTTGAAATCTCCTGTACCCCAATTATTATCTCTTTCACAGGAGCACCTTCATTTACCTGCTGCGTCAGGTATATTTGCAGTTCTTTCAGACTGCTCTCCTTTTCCTGTAATTATGAGAAATGGGATTAATTCCGGTAAAGATCAGAAAGAGGTTTACTTTTTGTTCAGGGAAAGGGAGAAAAAAAAAATTTTAATAAAAAATCTGATACTTACCAGAGACCTGTGGATATCAAGTATCTCTGCTAGGCCTTTCTCCTGGAAGAGATTCTTAAAATTCTCATCGGTCCGCTTGTTGGCTTGAAGAAACTCCATTAACCTTGAATCCAAACCTGCTTTGCGTAGCAG